TTTTCCAGGTTAAAAATCCGTCTTATACGCCGGAAAATACGGTATGTTTGAAATATTTTCAAGCCATGGATGATTGAATATGTGGAATAATAATAATAATAATAATAATAATAATAATAATAATAATAATAAATTTCTTATCCACCTTTCCCCATGGATCGAGGCGGGGAACAACAACAATTAACAGATACAGCAATTCAGTTAAAATACACATCAGTTTCAAAGGACAAATAAGATAAACACGTATTCAAACAATCCACATTTAAAATTAACAATTTAAAAATAATCTGCCAGAAGAGACTGGTCTTTAAAGCTCTTTTAAGTTCACATTGCTTATTAAGCTGTCAAATCTCTTCCATCAGGTCATTCCACAGTCTAGCAGCGGCTGAAGAAAAAGTCCTCTGGCTGACTGTTGCCAACACAGTCCTGGCTGACTGGAGTAAATGTCCGGCAGAGGACCTGAGTGTATGGAGTGGATTATATGGGAGGAGACAATCCTGTAGGTAACCTGCACCCAATCCATGTAGGGCTTTAAAGGTAATAACCAACATTTTGTACTTTGCCTGGAAACTGACTGGCAGCCAATGGAGTGATGTGCTCACTCCTGGATGTCCTAGTAATCAATGTGGCTGCTGTGTTTTTAACTAACTGAAGTTTCTGAACTTGGTACAGAGGTTGCCCAATGTACAGTGCATTGCAGAAGTCCAACCTTGAGGTTACCAGTGTGTGCACTACCATCTTTAGGTCTTCCAGCTCTATGGACCTTATCACACGGGGTCTAAAGCAGACCTAATCCAAAGGGTATCCATAGCTAATCCGTATTAGTTCCCCGTGTTTCCACACGACGTTGCACCAAAACTCGACAAAACCCGGAGCTAATCCGTATTAGTTCCCCGTGTTTCCACACGACGTTGCAGCGAAACTCGACAGAACCCAGAGCTAATCCGTAACGAATTGAGATCTTTTGACATTCGGTTTATAGGGGAAGTACAAGCGAGCTTTCGGAATTATTGCGCAATGGCCGCGCAGGCGAAATACATATGATCACACAATACGTATTGTGAAGCATTTCAGTTCATTTCGGTATAGAACTGAATTTATTCTTATTTTGGTTTCTTTTCGCTTCGTGGCCAGCGTGTGATAAGGTCCTATGTAGGGGCCCAGCTGGCATATTAGCTGAAACTTATAGTAAGCACTACTGGCCGCACATCTATCTGAGCTGTTGACGGTTCCAGAAGCACCCCTAAATTGCAAACTCAGTTTTTCATAGGGAGTGTAAGCCCATTGGGATGAGTTGACAAATCTCTAAACTCAGGTTAGGACCTTTGACAGCAAGCACCTCTGTCTTGTAATTCATCCTCAATTTGTTTTTCCTCATCCAGCCCACTGTCCTTAGCTGAGACTCTTTTTGAAGGCATAGAGAAATATATCAGTATGGATAGCAACCCTGATTTACAACCACAAGCCTCCCACCCTCCCCAAGAGCAATCAATTAAATTGATACACTCAAGAAGCATGCTATTTAGATTCTTCTTAGCTTATGTTAGAACTTCCTGAATCCAATATAAAAATGAAAACAGTCTTACTTAATAAGGACAGATTGGTATGTGGTATCAAAATCTGTTCTTTGCTTTGTAGACAGAAGGCATGCAGCTCTGGAATCCAGAACAGCCTATAAAAGTATAAGAAATCCTTTTATACGGCACAAGGCACAATTCAAAACCCTTCAGATATGTTGTGTCAGTAGTCTTTAGCTGTTAATCTCAGTAAAATGACCAACAGATTTGGTGACAGCAGTCATTGTTTATCTAGCATTATGCAGTATCCTATAATGTCTTTTATTCTTTCTCTTTTCTTTGATGCTTTGTAGAGCACCATGTACTGCTTATACCAGAACACCCATCTGTTTTGTTTTGTTTCTGATTCTAACTGTTATGAGTATCTGCATTGCAGTTTTGATGCATGGTAGAATAAAGACCAGAAAAATTAAATTTTGGGCTACAACTCACACAGGGGACAATTGGAAGTATAAAGGGTGATTAACCTGTGATAATCCCACAATTGCGCTAGTGGTTTTTACATGACACTGTGTTCAAAGTGCTATTATCCTGTGAATAACCTGTGATAATCTTGCAATTACACTAATGGTTTTCACATGATGTTGAGATGAAACGTGATTAAAGTGCCATTATCTCATGAATAACCAGGCAAGAAACAGCAGCAAATCATTCAAGGGATTTTTCTGTGAATGACTTTTTGCTGTTTATTGCCTAGTTATTCACAGGATAATGGCTCTTGTGTTAATCTCATTTTAATCATGTTTTAATGTGAATTGTGCGATTTTCACATGTTAATTACTATTCAGACTCCTAATTTCCTCCCTTGTGATAAACTCATTATAATCTTGCAGCTACTGAGGAATTTGGTGTTGATCCAGAAAAAGTTATTTTCCTAAGATTGGTTATAAATGACATATGGTAAATCAATGTACCTAGAGAGAGGCAGTGTGCCAACATTAAAAATAATGTTAAAGAAATTAGGTATGGGGGGAAAAATCAGAGGATTGATAAACCAGCTATATTCAAATAACACAGCAGTGGTAATGGTAAATGATGAACTAACAGAACAAATTCAAATTTCTAGGGGTACAAGACAAGGCTGCCCTTTCTCCCTGATCTTATTTGCAATGATTATTGAAATTTTGGCAAATGTAGTTAGGAAGGATGAAAATTTGGAAGGAATTGAGATTAGAAAATTGAATAAGATAAGTTTGTTTGCTGATGATAGATATTTAGGAATAAATATTACAAAAATTTACAAAAATTGGAGGGACAAAATTATAATAAATTAAGAATAGAAATTAAAAGGAAATTAGAAGATTATAAAAATATTAAATTATCATGGTTTGGCAGAATTGCATTAGTAAAAATGAAAATTTTACCTAAGATAATTTTTTTTCTTTAGGCAGTTACCAATAAAATATCAGAAGCAGAAATGGAAAATTGGCAAGTATTAGTGAATAATTTTTGTAATATGAATACAAAAGTGAGGATTAATAAAATATACTGGTACAAATCCCCAAAAGATGGAGGATTGGGTTTTCCAGATTTAAAATGGTATTATAACGCAAATCAGTTGAGATATATTATAGATCGAATTACAGAGAAGGGGGAATTAGACTGGTTAGAGATGGAAAGAATGAAAATAGAGAAAAAAACTGGAAAATATATATTTTTTAGGGACTTTACCATGAAAGAAATGAAAGAAATAGAAAACTCCTTTCTAAAGAATATATTAGAGATTTGGAAAAAACATAAAGAAAAATTAATGCCTGCTATCTCACCGTTAACCCTAGTACTAATGTTGGAAAAATTTCCAATAAATTTAGAGGAGGAATTAGAGAAAGAGTTAAGGAAGCAAGAAGTATATAGGATAAAAGATTGGCTGAAGATAATGAAGGTTAAAGGAAAAATAAGGAAATTGCAAAGTTAAAAAATGGCAAAGAGATAGTATGGAGGAAAATGAAATTTTGAAAGGTATTACAAGTGAAATATATAATTTGTTATCAAAACAGAATAAGAAAGAAGAATATCTTAGGACAATATGGGATGATGATTTAGCACAAAAGATAAATATTCAAGAATGGGGAAAAATTTGGAATCAACATCATTAAAAAAGTATATTGATAATGGAGAAATATTATAAATTAATTTGGAGATGGTATTTAACACCAGTAAGGTTAAACCATATAAATAAGAATTATTCAAGGATATGTTGGAGGGGTTGTCAAGAAATTGCTACTTATATTCATATATGATGGAGTTGTAGATCTATAAAGAAATTTTGGCAATTAGTATTTATGTCAACAGATATAGAAAATATAGCCACTCTAACAGACAAACAGATGATATTCCAATTGAACTCCTGCAATCTACACTGACAGAGTCAACTTTAGTGCTGACCAACATATGTCAACCAATATGGAAAACAAAACGATGGCCAACAGATTGGAAGTGATCAGTATACATCCCCATCCACAAAAAAAGGAGACAGAAGAGACTCAGCAATTATAGAACCATAGCACTAATCTCCCACACAAGCAAAATCAT